TCAAGGCCTTCAAAAACTGGACTCTCAGCAATTTTGTATGATAGTTTTATGTAAACTGTAGTTGCTGAATTAATGATCTAGGCAATGAGATGCCATATTACCTCTCTTTTTCCAACCAGGACTTCTTTGTACTGTGCTATAACTTCCTGAAGCATTTTCAAAGGGCTTGAAGGATTTCTTGCCTTCCCTTAAAGACTGCATGCATCAGATGGGGAAATGAATGCAGCAGGCACTATAGTACCACATCCAAAGTCACCCAGAGATTTATAGCAGGAGAATCCAGATCTCCCTGCTCCTAAAAGACCAAACAGGTAGATTATTCCACATTTTAAACAATCTCAATGACTATACTACGCAATTCCTTCCTGATTTTTCCTCATAGTTTAAGTAATTTCTTGGCTGATACATTGGGAGTAAGGTAAGTTTGGATAAAGCTGCTACGGGGTGTCTTCACATCTAATCTTTTCATCATCTTTATGTGTCATCTGAGAGAGCACAGCCACCACCAGCACAAGAGACACTACATCGTTCTTCCTAGCTGAACCAGGGAGATACGTATTATATTGTATATATGTATTTGGCCTGTATTAAAAACAGTGTGACCAGCAGGGCCAGGGAGGTGATCCCTGGCTCGGCACTGGTGAGGCCGCACCTCGAGTGCTGTGTTCAGTTCTGGGCCCCTCACTAGAAGAAGGATGTTGAGATTCTGGAGCGTGTTCAGAGAAGAGCCACAAGGATGGGGAGGGCTCTGGAGAACAAGCCTGATGAGGAGCGGCTGAGGGAACTGGGCTTGTTTAGCCTGGAGAAGAGAAGGCTGAGGGGAGACCTCATCACCACCTACAACTGCCTCAAGGGAGCTTGTGGAGAGGTGGGTGCTGGTCTCTTCTCCCAGGTGATGGGGGATAGAACAAGGGGAAACAGCACCAAGCTGTGCCAAGGGAGGTTCAGGTTAGAGATAAGGAGGAAGTTCTTTCCTGAGAGGGTCGTCAGAGGCTGGAACAGGCTGCCCAGGGAGGTGGTGGAGTCACCATCCCTGGATGTGTTTAAGGAGCGGGTAGATGAGGTACTTAAGGATATGGTTTAGTGGGTAGACAGGAACGGTTGGACGTGATGATCTCAGAGGGCTTTTCCAACCGAGAGATTCTGTGATTCTGTGTCCTCAAGGAACAGCATGGGCCCATCCATGTCAGGGAAGCTGCATTTACAACAGCTGAGGATCCGGAAACTTCCTGGTCCTAATGGACTCAGTAGCTCAAAGAAAGGAGGTGCTACAGGATTTTATGAACAACAACAACAAAAAATCACATCAAGTCCTTTCGAAAGTCTGGTCCTTTCTGTTGTAGCTTCTTAAAAGGCAAATAATCGCACTGCTGGAAGACAGTCAAAATTAGCCAAGTTTAGCAATCTCTGACTCAAACGCAAAGCTGACCTTGTGACCTGAGCACAACTGTCTATAGGTGACTATCATCTGAAGTCAAAACTTACAATAAAAAAGCCCAATTCTCTACAGTTACTTGGCAGGGTAACCTTTATTAGCTGTAGTGGACTCAGTTCTCCACATGGTGTAGCCCTTTGAGTAAAGGCTGAGCCACAATATGGATTTAAAAATAATCCTCTCCATTTTTAACCACCATTTCTACCAATCTATCCATTCAGCCTCTTGCTAACATTTCTTTTGTGGTAGGTCGTTATTGTTCAGAAGAATCAGACACCTACAACCTTTAGCAGAAACTTTTCTCTAAGTCAGAATTTAGTTCTTATACCGGAGCTGAGTGAGTTGGCCATGCAGGACTTCAGTGTTCAGTGAAAGGATGCACAGGGGAGAATAAACAAGGATGGCAGGATGGGACGAGGGGTGAAACATCTTAACAAACAAAGCAAAAGTTTTTTCTGGTTAGTGTTAACTTGTGCTGTTAGCGTACACAGTCCCCATAACCACGGACAGAACAATCCCAAGTTTCTGCTATTTAGTTTTCTGGGTTTTTAGTTCACAAACTGCATCTGTCTGCTGAGCTGTGTGGGTAGTGGCTCACATCATCTACACTGGCATGACATTTTTTGAGCAGCATGGTGCTCAGCTTTTAGCAGCTTTACAGGAAAAAAAAAATCAGTAGTTCCTTGTGGTATACTTTTTAAAAAAAAAATTAAAGATGACACTCACTGTTTCATGCTGAAATGTCTTAAAATGTAAATAATTTAGGAATCAAGTTGAAAAAAGAAACATTGTATTTTGACCATACTTTATCCACTTATTACTGAGGTGAAAATACCCCCAAATGATAAAAGTCCGAGCATGCCACACGAGTGATTTTTGGAACCATGCACAAATAAAGTAGGAACTGTCAACTGCAGCATGCAATACTTGGAAACGAAGGCTGAACTACAACCTTTACAAAATATTGTGTATCTCTAAAATATTTCATAGTAGACATGTTTGACTTCTCGGTATCATTTGTCAGGAATTGTTTCAGATATTCTTTAAAGACTTGAAAGGAATTCACTTTACACAGGTAAACAGAAAAAAAAACAGATAATGCTTTATGGAATAGATGTAGGATTATTCTGAAATGATTCTTCTACTTTAAAATGTATGGCAGCTGTATCATATTCCAGAACAGCTTTTACCAATAAATCAGCCTGCGGACCTTCAATCACATACACTTTTGACATGAAATATTTGAAAATATTTTTATTTTTTAGTCTTATACTATTAGTCATTCAGTCTTTTAAACACTTTAAACAAAAGCTAGTACTGGGAAAAAAAAATCCAGTTGCCAGGATGCGTAACTTGAAGTTGTGTGAGAAATAGAAGTGTACTTAAAGATAATGTGAATCATTTATTCAGAGTCACACTGTACAGGAAAAGACGGCTCCCCCAGCCCATGCTTCCCACTGCCCCCACGGGCTTCCATAACAGGCTTCTGGGTTTGCTTTTTTAATAAGTCCATAAACGCCAAGGATTTATAAAAAGCACATGCAAGTTCTTTTACATTAATGGATCGGGAAGAAGCTGCAAACTTTCTTTAGTACAGGAACCACGTCTTTAAGGGTGGAAGTAGTAACTAAAACAGGACACCACAACTGACAGCTAACATGACAACAGCGGCTTTGCTGACAGCTCTATACTTGGTTTGTTCCTGGGACACAGGAATGCATAGGGGCATGACACCCAAAACCAATTTAAATTACCTATAGCTTTGGAAAAAACCTACAAAAATGGTTTGTTTTTACTCCTTTACCGATCCTTTTTAAGTACTACCTACAGATGTACAGTTTTTGAAGTGTTTTGTAATCGCAGCCTAGATTCTTGGTTTAATCCTTCTCCTGAAATAGGGGATATAAGTGAATATAAACAGGGTCAGGAAAAAAGACATCGGGAAAAGGTGCAACAATTCCACCTCCAAATGCCATGAGGAAAAGAAACACATTCTTGCAGTGTCTGTCCTCTCCAGCTCCAGCCTGTGAAAAGCCAACTGAGCAGCTCCTGAAACGGTGAGGCACCACTTTTTGCAAATCTAATTTGCAAAATTAAGAGGAAAAGAATTGGGAATATTTTAAAAGACTTTCTTTACAGGAACAAAGTAACGGTTTGCATTCTTGCTTCACCATTCACCTTTCAATAGTTGTACTTTCACTTGAAGTACGTAGGATACTTTCGCACTGAACAAAAAACTTAAGAGTAGCTCAGCTTTCCCTTTTCTCAGTAGTTTAGGGACAAGAAGGAGCTACGACAGATTTAACTGTTCCTGGTTTAAGACATATAGTAATTTAATGTTGCTACACGAATGCACAAGAATGTGGTTTTCTTCTGAAAATCCATCATTTCCCGCCCCCTTAAGGTTTCTTATGTACCCTGAAGACAGACCCAGTGTAGCAACTTCAGTTTGCTACAAATAATCCAATCCTTCCTTCCTTGGAAGAAAATGGGCATCAGAACTTGTCTGACTGTCAGGAAGACTGAGATTTTTCCCATCTACACATGACACATAATACCTGAATATGCTTCAATTATGCTTCATTATCTCTGGCCAAAAGTAATTAGTTTTAGTAAAATACAGTACAATTATTCCCCCCCTGACCAACTAACACCTCAGTCTTTGTTAAAGTCTAAAAATTTAAGCGCTAGCCGGGTACTGGAATGTTTCTGAACGTAAATTTCAGTGAGAGCCGTGAACAATTCGTGGGATTTCACTTATCGTTCCACAACCTGTGACAAACTGAACAGTTACCGTCACCTCTGTGGTGAGAAATGTGTACCAAGAAATTGCCAGTGGTGTATGGGCCTGCAACTGAACTGATGATTATGGTATAAACGGGTTTTCCGTAATAATAATGAGTTTTCCATGACTACAAACCGTCAGTCATCTCAATATCCTGCCAGGCTTTCCATTTTTTGTGGCCAAACCTCTGTGGCAGTAGAATTATTACCCAAGCTAATCAGTGATGTAAGTTAACGCTGCATATGCTAGATGTTGGCGCCAATGAAAGCACCAACATGAAAACAAAGCTCTCACTGCTGATGGAAGTGTCAAACAATGATCTTGATGCACTTGTCAGTACACGTGAATCTCTCATCTTTTTTTATTTGTGATGGTACGCTGTGTGCCCCGTGACCATTCAAGTACCATAGAGAAAAATCAAGGAAGAAGTTCTTCAATTTCACAGAAATCAAGTAAGTCTTACAACCCATGGCAACATCCATGGTTCTTATTGCAGTAAACAGGCAGCATGGATTCCTTATCCCATTTATATTAAGATTTCTTTTAAAGAAAAGGTGCTGATATTTTGTATTGTTTCATCTATGAGGTAGATGGCACTTTCATATAAACAGTGTAAATCAAAAATTAAGTCAGCTCTGAGCCCGCAACAAGCACTGCGCCGCCGACTGTCAAGTCGATTATTAAATCGTGATTCCAAAACAATTCCTCATTTTAAAGGACCAACAGGAAGTCTTCGACAGGAGACTGAGCGCACAGGAAGGTGCCTTCCCTGGACAAAGGTCAGCGGAATTCTGGCTTTAGCCTCCAGACACCTTCCCCGCTTGGGTTCCTATGGAAGGTGCAGAGATTGCGGAGAAGTTCTCTGAAGACGTAGGACTGCGCCACAGGCAGTTTGGACTCAAACTGCTGCAGCAGTTCCTTAGTGCTAGCCTCACCATCCACGCGGGCCTGGAACGCTATGAAGTTCCGCATGTCCACGAGCAGTTCATCGTATTCTGTTACACCTGGGGCTGGTTCTTGCCGGTGATTCTCCTCTCCCTCATTCCCTGTCCGTTGTGGTAAAAGAATGTGGTTTCTTGCTCTCATCTTAGCTAATAATGATGAAGAGTCTAGCGCACCGGACGATGATTCTCCGGATTTTCCATCAAAGTGCCCATTGGAACTACACTTCTTTACATTTTCGTTCTTTATTGGATCTGCATCCTGCAAATAAACATACAGACCATGGAGAAAGATGGATTTTGAGATCCATAGAATCTGCTGAACAAAATCTGCCTTCTGTTTAGACTTAAACAACAAACACGAACACTCAGAAGCCAGTCATCTGAAACACACAATAAAGAGGTAATATGTTCTGCTCTCAACTTTAGAACTTCAGAAGTGAAAGAAAAGCACTGCTGGTTGTGAGACAGATAACCAGACCATGTTGCAATTTGTGACTGCTGTATCTAATCAGACTTCATCTAGATGCTATATCAAAACATGAAACGTCAAATGAATGAATGCCTAAAAATTCTAGGATTCTACATCATCATACAACAAATAGTTACGAGACATCTAAAGTTTAAAGCAAATCTGTTGCATAATTCAGAACGTTTCACATACAGCAGCCATTAAAAGAGAAGTGTTAGCTTGTGTCTCTTACCTTGCACTTTGCAGGCGATGCACAAGTGGAATGTAAAGCAAGCAGCGCGGAGTTTCTTTTTTGACCAAACCGACTCCTAAAAACCCACAAAAAAATAACTTCATAGAACATCCTTCTCAAAATTTTTAGGTTAGTTTTGCTAAAGACACTGACTGGGTTTGAGTTGGAGAGTTCTCAGGAGCCCTCTGCCAAACTCTCCTCTACTGTGCAACAATGCTTTCTTTGTACTTAAGAATGGACTTCCTAGGCTTTTAATATGCCTTCATGTCTCTACTAAATATAAACCATGAAACTCCACTTTGATACACGTTACTGCAAATACCACGTGCAAAACCTGAAACCCATAGCATCGTAAGGAACTCTTATATTTTTGGAAAAGCAGTGTGAGAACTGAACGTACTTTATTCCTGACGGTGCACCTGAAAGACCACTCGTGCCTGTCCAAGTTGGCACACCAGAAGCAGCTCCTAAACATCGCTGTCGAGAGACTTTTAAGGCTCTTAAGGCATCCTGGGCCACCCTGTTTGCTTCTGCTTCTACCAGCACGTGATCTGCACTGGAAGCTTCCATAATGGCATCATGCTTCATAACGCTGTGTACCCCTAAAAACCAGAAGATGCAAGAAAAGATGAAGGAGGACATCTGTTAATTTACATTGTTACCTTTAAAAATAAGTATCCACCATTTAAGTGAGTGCCACAATCACATTTTTCCTTTTTTCAGGTTAATTATATTATATTCAGCACTTACAGTAATTTCTAATAAGAGAATCCCCTTCTATCAGTTAAGCAATCAATTTGACAGAAAATCACTTCTGGTGTGCTGATGAGTTCATTATTCACAACAGACTTGGCAATTATGTGGGTAAATCGATAATTTCTATTGCTATGGACAGGACAGACAGAAGTGAAACCCTTGTGCAAATGAAGGTTGGTTACATGCTTATTTCCAGAAGAACACTGCATTATTTCTATATCTAGTACTGTTCCTGGAAGGCTGCAGATCTCTCCGAAATGTTTGTGCCAAGGTAACCAGCACATTCATAAACGGAGTCTTTCAATGATGAACATTTTGATGTTTCACTGCAGTAACAAGTAGATAAAACACATGTTGTGTTGTAGTTCTAACCATCAGAGTAACAGAACTGCTCCTTCTCTCACTTGTATGTAAGGTTTTATACTTCTTTTTAAATAGTCTGACACTGCTGAGCAGCCAAGTAACAACGGTTACCTGATTTTTTGAACAGTTTCTCCAAGACGTAATCATCATTTTTCTTTGAGTCTTCCTCCTTCTCTTCACTGTTCTCCTTTCTGTATCGCTTTTGTTTCACTAGATGAGGAATGCGCTCTCCTTCAAATTTGGCATCTTTGTGATGTTTCTTCCTGGACTTATCTTTGTGGCTGTCCTGTGACAGCACATCCACCCTGTGCTTTGTTTTTGAGGTACATTTATGATGATTATCTAATTGCCCATCTCCAGTTTTAGCAACCCAAGAGCCAGCTGCACCACACGCGAGGCTGCAATCTCCCTCGGCATTTGCATTAGCCGTGCCATGCACTTCATCAGCCACCACAGTGTTCAGACATTTGGTGTTCTCTGAAGACCCTGCATCCCCTGGCAATGACTGGGACATAGATTTGTCATCTTTTTCCAAGCTTTTCTCCTTGCTTTTAGTAAATGAATTTACAGCAGCTTGCGCATTATCTTTTGCATAGCTATTTTGGTCAATGGCTTCTGAATTTCCTTTGGCTTCCTCACTTGTTGCTATTGCTTTAGAAGAAGAATTCGTCATCTGGGTGGTTAAGCAGGAATTGGATGACTTGCTGTACTTCAGCGAGCTGCTTTCTGTATGATGGAGATCACCTTTAGAAGTGTCATTATCGGGTGGCTTTTCAAGTTTCCGTTTCAGTTGGTGTTTTGGGACTTGAACATCTGAACCAGTACCTGGGGGATGAATGAAATTAGTATCCATTTACCAAACACTTCCAACATTGTTTTCTTTTAAACAAATAGAAAAAAAAATGTGTACCTGCAAAAATTGCACTCGTTTCTGTCCCCTGAGACACATCTGGGCTGCTGAGAGTAAAAAGCTCATAAAGGTCATTGGATTTGAAAAAGCGCCTCTGCTTAGGGTCTTTCAGCACTCTGTTCGTTAAAAACTGTTTGAAGATTTGTCTAAAAAGGAAACAGAAGTACTTTGGTACATGAAACAATGTCTAGCTATGTTTAAGTACTGAAAATAGTACTTAAACAGAAAACTGTAAGCACAAATGTTACCCTGCAGAACAATTAAGCAGTGGGAAGATGGTATTAGTTTCTAAAAGACAATCTTAAGTTGGTAACTTTCAAGCAACCAGCTGAATTGTTAAACACAGGGATTTACTGTTTTGCAGCAACCCCATAACACAACAGGTAACCACAATCCTGAAGTGTCCTGTGAGGCATCCCTTAACTAAGCGATAAATAACTTCACAGCTGGATTTTTTTTTTTTTACATTAAAATTGAAAAGCTTGCATATTCCAGTTAAACTATTGGAAAACTCCTGAAAGAAAAACAAGGGCTTGTTAAAATGTCAACATTTTAATGGTTCAATTGGTTGGAGGAATCAAAAGCAGTGGAGTAGCTCAGTCTGATGGTGATGACTGTATAACAACCACTGAAAAGAGAAATCAGGCTTGTGGTTGAGAAGAAGGGAGGAAAGAGGGAGGGAGGGAGGGAGGAAAGAGGGAGGGAGGAAAGAGGG